CCAGTTTTAACTATTGATATTGATTAGATATGACAAATTAAATGCTAATAATTGATAACATATACAGTATAATCTTCTTAATTAAGAGATTATGAACTTACTCGTTTACATTTTTTTTTTGTTAAGTAAAATTCAGCACATAAAATTAGTTTTAAATAGAATCATAAAATTATATATATACTGTAAATAAAAGTTTATTAATCTTAGACCTTTAACAGGTTATTTTATTTATCTTTCAGTCGTGCTTCGCACGATCTCTTTAAACTCAGCTCTAAAATTTTTCTTTGCATCATGTTATTAATACTGTAAAATTTTTTTATAAAGTTTTAGTCTCGTTTCTATCTGAGCTTTTTAGACAAACTCTACATGTATTTATATTAATAAAATTTTTCATGTTTTGTTTGACCCTAACTCTAAATTTTTTATGTCTTAATAAACATTTTATTTCAATATTTATTGATCTCACTTTGCTAGTCTGTTCTTTTTTTTTTTTTTTTTACTGTTCATTAATCAAACACGTTGTTTTTGACCCACTTAACCCATTTTTATTGACCCACTCTAAAAAAAAAATTGTATCGTTTTATGTGATGTTCTATGATCATATGTTTTTGCTTCATTGATAATACCACATCATGTCACAACTTTTTTTCAGTTGTTACAGTCCATAACATGCAATTAAATTTATACATGATATTACATACAGTAAGTTAATCCAGTTTTTACCGTCAAATATCTGTGACCCACAAAAAAAATTACATCAACAGGTTGAAAAAATATTTACCGAACTTTACAAAATATTCTAATTGAAAGTTTAGTTTTTATCATTTAATATAAAAGAGACGTCAATTATTCAAGCATAATAGAGTTGTATATGGGTTGGCTTCTAATGCTTTAATAACCCATTCCGTGAATTGAAGATGTGACTCTTTTCTTTCCAAATACTGTGAAGCCGTTCGCAATTTGTATCTCAGGAATTTATAGTGGCATTTGATATTGTGAGTGAATATATTCGGATTTGATATTCATTTGTGCATTAATATTTTTATTTCCATAGCCGTCATGAAGATACCAGACAAGATATAAAAGATTAAATGGATGTGGTTTTCTTGAAAATTCAGCCACGCGTCCAAATCTTCATTTTCGAAATTGGTAAAAATTATATTTATAATCTACATCCAATTCGAATAGAACTTGTATTGGTTAATTTGTTGAACTTAGCAATAGCACCGTTAATATTTCCTGACATATAGGCAGTATTATCGGTAAATATCAATAAAATCGCTTGTTTGATAACTATTTTTAACCATATTTGAAATGGCTAATTTGGAGACTTGATTATGCCAAGTTGTAACATGTTTCCTTGAAGGTAATTTTTTGGTAAAAAAACTCAAATTAGTTTTGTACACTCAACGGTCGAACATATTGAAACTTGTGCTAATTTTGTTCGATCACTTGATTTAAAAATATCTTGTTTTTTAAAAATTTTCGAAGAAATCTTTTTAGATTTGGATACTAAAGAAAGTATTATGGTTATATAATTAGATATTTTTTTCTTAGGGTGACGATTTCGTGATCCAAGTGATTTGGTTTCGTGATTAGAGTTTGATTTTGTTTAATAAATTTTTTGAGATTTGAGCTGATTACTTTCCTCTTGTAAAGCGCATAGCTTGATCTTAGTCAATAATGTGAACTAGAAATTACTTTGACCAATTGCTGTTGTAAAAATGGTGATATAATTTTCCTTTATTCTTTCCTTTGTGTATTATATATCTTTTTAACAGCTTGATTGCGTCTTTTTTTCTTCATGGCTCATTACTTAAATTTGAATTACATGTAAAATGATATTCAATAGGCCTCATCCGATTGTTAAAAATTTAACCCTATTGGTATCCTATTAACTGACGAATTTTGGCGCAAAATGAGGGTACAGTAATCAGAATTCAATCAGAATTCAATAGGGTATTTAATCAACAGTAACCAATCGGATAGGATTTTACCAATTGCCAACTATTTAACTATTATGATCAATATATAGCCAATTATAATACGTAAAAACCTGATTAATAACTATCGATTATACAGTTTAAATAGTTTGCAATTGGTAAAATCTTGGATTGGTTACTACGTATTGATTGTATAGTTTATAATTCGTAAAAATCCCTATTGATGATTATTTTACTTGTGGGCCTTGATTCGATTTCTACTTATTGAATCCTGATTGATTCCTATTGACCTCTTTTTACGCCAAAATTCGTCAGCAATATGGTGTCAATAGGGTTATATTTTGCAGCAATCAGGTAACCCTATTAACTCCTGATTGAATATCATTTTATTTGTGTCCGTAAAGGTTATTTTTTTCAGAATTGCAGGAATTTTTAGTGCTTTTGTTTTTTAACACTATATAAAATATCTAGTGCACTAATAAAATCTTCATTATTGAGACCTTTATAAGTTTTTAACAATCATTACAAAAAAAAAAACGCGCGACAAATTATTCAAATGCGTGCAATTAAGTGATCAAAAAAAAACCTCCCGATTTTTTTATTATGCCAAATTGATAAATAGGTTACAATATCCGAAATGCATACAATTAAACGTTGAACTTAGCGGCACTCATTTAAAAAACAATATCCGAAATGCATACAATTAAACGTTGAACTTAGCGGCACTCATTTAAAAAACAATACGTGCAGAAGGTAAATTTCAGGCTACTTGCGAATTGGCTTCTATAAATTAAAATAGCTACTTTATCTAAAGCAGCTACTTTATATATCTAAAGTACTATACGTACTAGTTCTATTTTTTAATCCATAACTTTAGAATATAAAATGATTTATTTATTTAATATATAAAATTTGCTACAATAACTTATTAAAATATGCAGATTTAATTACTAAACATTAAAAGATTTGTAAATATATCGATTGGGGTGCTTAAATTTACATTTATTTTTTAAATATCTGTCCATCTTCTTCTGTGAAAATATTGGAATGCTTCTCTATCTTTTGTTTTTCTGCCATCACCTAAATAATAAATTTAATTAGCATTTTATATGATAAATAAATCATTATCACTTTCTTTAACGCAATATTACCTCTACCCTTCTTTTTACAAAATGATATGCTTCATATGTATGTTTTATCAAGAGTGACATAGGAAACATATCTGAAATTGAATCCTCATCCATATTATCTGGCCAACAGCAGAGAGCTGTTTGATTCAAATATTCTGATAACGGGTGATCTTCTCGTATAGTTTCTACTAATAACTGACGAAACATGAATCGTTTTAATGCATTCATAAATGCTTCAGCTGTAATGAGATTTGCATTAAGTTTGATATCCTTTTCATCAAAAGAGCAAGATGCTACTATCTCTTTTTCTATTTCTCTTGTGAGACTAGCTTTGTATTTTATGGTAATACTTTCTATCATAATATCTGCAACCTTTCCTTCAACAATTTCATAAAGCGCAACAACGTGCTTGAGTTGCAAACCAGTATTTAGCACTTTTTCTAGTGCTTTATTTTCTGTGAGAACAGAAAGCTTCACCCAATGTTGAATATAATTTTTGAGTGTAATATTTCCATCACTTCCTGCGGTTCTCTTAACGAAACATAAAAGCAGTTCTAAAGCAGATAATAATTCTGATTCATTGCCTGACAGTATTATCTCTACATTTCCGGCGCTACTGCTAAATTCAGAAGGATAATTTGATGAAATTCCACCAATAAGTAATGCTAACATATTTTGTGGTATAGATTCCTGTTTAATTTTTTGTTTAATATCATACAATATTGTTGTGGAACATTGAAACATTTCCATGCAATAATAGAATGGTTCTAAAATGAGACCACCTGGCTCACAGGGTTCTAAATATGTTTTGTTAAACACTAAATCCTTAACAAGTTCTTCTTCAATTTTATAAAGATCATAAATAAGCTCCTTGCCTTTACCAACATCAAGAAGGCATTGACTATATTTTAACAATTTTGGATTCCATTCATAGTCGATAAGATTAGTTTGTCTAGCATCTTCTAGCCGTACAGATTTGATGAGATATGGATTATTTGTGTCCGATCCTTTTTGATTCTCAATAAATTTCAATGAATGGCATGTTCCAGGTTTAATACTCATAACATCGCGTAGGAATCTGTTTTGAATATCGACTAGATATTCCAATGCCGCACATAAAAATAGGCCGGCATCCTTTCCTTCTACAAGACCAAAAACAATTTGACAATCCAAATTCATTCTGGGCTTATTTGTAGGTAAATCATGGCATTGATATCTTTCTATAAGTGGCATCATGGCATTCCAGGATTCTGCAAAATTATCAAATGCAGCTTTAAGGGAATGTTGAAGTTCTCCATGTTCGGCAATGAACTTACGGAATGTCATATTTAATGCATCATTTCGTTTAATACGATAATTAAGACGCATGGAAAGTATACGTGAAAATTTAACTAAGTGATATATATGTTTCAGGTGTGGTATAAGTTTCTCGTACTTGAAGTAGATTGAGATAAATGGAAAATGTTTGCAATAGGTTTCATTATTTAAGTAAAATACACGAAAGTCGGCAAGACTTGCATTCTTAATACGTCTCCATAGTTTAGGCAATCGTTTTGCGCTATAACTATCATCAAATACCAAAGTTTCATTTATCTCTGCTTCAAAAACTGTGGTTTTTTTCTTCCTCTCATCTTTTGCCTTTTGGAGTTTACTACGCATATCCATTGAGGCAGCTGCAGGATTTCTAGCCCGATTGTTAACATATCGTGTGGTAAATCGACCTTCCCAAGTCATTCGTGCTTGCGTTGTTGATAATGTAGGAGTTGAAAATTGTTTATCTTCAGACATCGAATGAAGTATGTCATGTAATATTAAAGCTAAATCCTCATCGTTACAATTTAATGTAGTCTTTAATACGTCCCAATCTTTATTGACATGATCCATACAATGTGCAATAGGGTCAGAAATATTTTTAAGGAATGTTTGTGAAAACGGAGAGACGGCAATGAGAGCATGAATGAAAAGATGCAAAATTCTGTATGAAGAAGTAGTCATTTCACGAACGCTTTTGCTTTGATCTAATGAGCCCGATTCCATTATATAGCCTCTTTTATCACTATTAGTGATGACATTTTGAACCTGACCTGGGCTTAATCTTGTTTGACCCTCTGCTGCTACATGATGTTCTCCACCAATTTTTGTACCGCATTTTGGACAGGTTCGAGATTGCATAGTTCCACCACATTCACCAACGACATATTTAAATCCACAAACACATTGGTACCTAAGTACGTACGTATATGTTTATAAAAGAGAATAAGACATCAATAGTAAAGATAATTCAGTAATTGCAATAATGTGGTAACTTACCATGTAAATCCCTTAAGAGCACTCATTAATATTGCTTCCTCATCAGATGGACAAGTAAGTATATAAGTATTGTCAACCTCTTGAAGTTTTTGAAGGTACATTGTTAATGGTGAATAATTAGATGGAAGTGATGCATGAACTGCAAGCGTATGAATAATAACCAAACGAATTAATAAATTTTTATTGTTAATCTTTGGATGAATTCCTAAAATAGAATGATCATTAGCTAAAAGCCAAATCATGAGCTGTCTATAGGCTGGCGATAAATTAATCGATTCCAAAAATATTCTTAAATCACTAATTATTTCGTTTTCATTTTCATTCAATTTGCGCACTGCATTAATTGAAAGAAAACGTTCTACAATAACCCCGACAAATGCAATTCGCAAATTAGAATTGCCAGTTGATGAAAGTTTCATCAACAAGCTATTTAACTGAGATCCGCTCAAAGAATCATCCGCATCTTCATATTCATTAATCAAAGAGTAGGGATTAAAGGGTAATCGAGAATCATTATCTTTATTCCATGGTAAATCAGATAGCCATGGTAGATTCTCTTTATGAAGATTATAGAATTGTTTAAGTTCATTCATTGATAAGCCACGATCTCGCAAATTTTTAAGGAAATAGAACTTGAGTGATTGAACTTGTGGGTGTCGACTCTGCATCAAATCATTCAGTTCAACCATGAATTTGTTTGAATGTATAAAATTAAAATCGAACGACTCATTCAAAACATTTTCCAAAGCTGATGGCCAAAATCTATTTATAAACTGTTTTAATAGAGCTATAGCACAAACAAGCTGTAATGGTTTAACATTACTAGAACACAATGCTTTGCAAGCGTCTTTGAATAATCCTTTAAGTTTATCAAATCCTACATTCGAAAAAATTTCTTTTTGAATAACATCGCAGAATAATGCTGCTAGTTGCGAATCACACGAGTTATTTGCTAATTGTTTATTTATTACGTTGAGTCTTGGTGAGAAATTCAATACCTCATTTGCATTCCTAATTATAGCTGAGAATAGTTCTTTTTCTTCTAAACGAAATATGCAAAGTACTATAAAGGCTGTAAAGGGTAATGGCTGAGCTTGTTCAAACAACCTTTCATAAAGACGTAAGCGAGTAGGCGATTCAAGAGGAATAATGTCTAAAATTCTTAACGCAAAGTTTTGTCTTGCAACGGTATTCAAATATGTGCCTTTTGTGTTAAAGAAGTCAAAAATGTAATCAATGAACGTTTTATCCGAAATACCATTGTTACGTCCAATGTTAATAACCGTCAAGAGATGGTTAGAAGAAATTATTTGCTTTGAAACGAGATCATTGCATATATTTAAAAGTTGAAGAGAGAGAGATAAAGGACCCATTGTGAGTTCAGAGCAAAGAATAAGTATCTGAGAAGCCTCAAGCTGCCATTGTTCCAATTGTGTTTTGTTACCTATCGTGCGGACACGATCCAGTGTTAACTGAGAAGCTAGATCCGGGAGATTCATTGTAAAAGCCTCAAAATTGTCACTTATATCTTTTGCTAATTCGTTTATAATTGAAGGACAAAGCTTAACTAATTGCAATTCTGTTAAAATTATATCTGATTTTGCCCACCAATACGTATGAAGTCTTATAGGATTTAAGATTAATTTTTTACCCAAACGTCGAAGTAATAAAAGGTTGATAATGTTAAGGTTCTCGCTGTTTCCATTATTAGAAGAGATGTAAGTTAGGAAATCTTTGTGATATAAATGAGATGCGATTTGGGATGGCGAATTTTTCAGTGCAGGAAGTTTTGATATAATGTTCTGAAATCTTTCAAAGCAATCAGCAAGTACATTAACTGATAAATCTCCCGTAACATTGTCGATATTATTTTTATCTTCTTTAAGTATTTTAACATCTTCCAAATAAAGTTTTTCATAAAGATTAATTTGTTTGATAAGGTAATATGAGAAGGGAAATTCCATGGTATATGGACCGCTTGTCATGGGATAATTATCAGGTTTCGGATCCATCAAGAATTCAACATCAATAACATTATCATCATCAAACATCTGATACCAAAATTCAATAAGGTAGTTATCACCGTTTTTACTTTCGAGATTTAGTAAAGTTTTAAGAGCAGACAGCCGTTCAAGTACGCATAACAGTTTAGCAATATGCTTTCTCACAACAACTCGAATATATGCCTGAAGAGCGGCGCAGAATGATGAATGTAAATAAAGTACTTTCTTGTCAGTGGCAACTTTCAACTGCCAATTTGTTGAAGCGTTCTCGTCTAACCATTTCAAAGTTCTTTGCTTCAACATTTTTACAAATCGCGGATGTTTGGGAATTTCATTGACAAGATATCTGAAAGAAAAAAATTAATAATTAAAATATATGTGTGAAGAATTTTGAAATGCATTAGAATTACTCACTTGATATGCTCTACAGAGTCCATTGTGGATGGGTACTTAATACATAGAAGACACCATAATAACTCCTGTTCTAAGATCTCTTCGAATGGTAAAACTGAATTCATGACATTTATGATTTTTCCACCAAGAAGAATTGGCAGGCTCTTTTCTTCTGGTGTTAGAGTTCCAACAGTAATTTGATTCCATCCACACATGAAATCAAAATTCGAAGTTATTCTTTGTTCACGATGAATATGGAGAATGATGCAAACATGTTTTACTGGCATATCAATATCAACTTTCCGCTTCTTTTCCAAGTATTTCGTTCGAATTTGCTCAATAATGAATTTTGCTAATTTAATGCAACTGGAGTTTACCATTGATTGATCACATTGAAGAATTAAAAGTTCATCGCTACTATCCAACCAAAAACGTTTGATTCGATCTTGTAGTTGAGCTTCGGTTTTAAATGTCGAAAGTTTATCTACTTGACAAGGTACTTCTAATGTACCCAAGCAAGCCTTAACATCAGTATTAATGTTTGAAAATGTATTTACAATGATTAATTGTGCCTCTTTATTCTTTCGATTTTTTTTATCACCAATTAATATCCTTAAACATGACTCAATATCATCATGTATCCCACTATTAAAATAGGAATTATACAACTCATTGACTTCTTGGGGTTTTTGCATGAACAAAAGAGATTTTTTTGCTCGGACAATACCATCTGATGAGGCAATGGCAATTAATCTTTCCTTACATCTCCTTAATGCTAATTCATCATCTCCATTTTTTTCTTCCATTTTGCACTGGTCGAATACTAAACTCTGAATGGTTTCATCCTTATTAAATCCTACAAAAATATCTTTTTCGGTGAACTCATTTGCTGCGACCCCCTGTACTGTTGATATCTGACGAACCCATTTAAACAAAGCTTCACAAAGTTCATGATGGTGTTCAGAAAGTATATCATTAATTGTCAATCGTTGTTTCTCAAATCGATTGAGCAGAGGTGGATCAGTATATTCAAGTTTACTCTCATCCATGATTAGGATGCATTTGAAGTCTGGATGTACGTATAACATTGGGTTAGAATAAGCACCAAGTGCAACGCGTGTAAAAAACTTTGTGTCTTTGCGACTGCCAAGAGTGATATAATTCTGATTCCACAAATCATAAAGACTTCCTGTAAAAGTAAATTTATTTATTTATTTAGAGCAATTAATATTTGTTAATAAGAAAAGGACGTACGTACCATAGATAATGTCTAAATCTGTGAGAATCAAAGGTCTTCCTGCTTCAACACACATCTAGAAGATGAATTAATTATTACTGATAATTAGTATCTAATGTAAGGTATATTTTAAGATAAAATTAACTTGTCATGTATTACCATTATCCTGCTCAAAACGGCATACAAATAATCACCATCACCGTCATCGGGAAATTGAGAACCGCAAAGCACAACAGGGTCCAATTGTTGAGTTCGTACGTGATAAGTTAGAATATTAACTAGAGAGTCACTCTTCCCTATGACCATTAAATGTCGCGTATTTTTTCGATTTAGATTTTCGTTTATTAACCGTTCAACAGGAATTGGTGTATATTTATAGTTCTTGTTACTATTGAAAGAATTTAAGACTTTGCCAAAATATTTTTCGCATATTAATTTTGTTTGATCGGTTCCTCCAAAATTTCTTATCAATCCTAGTTCCAATGTGCTCACTAATTTACAAATAAATAAAAGTTAGCATCATAAAGTACATCTTAAAGTACTTAAAGTATGTAAATTGTAATGGATAAATAATATAAAAAAAAAAATCTTACTTGTCAGATCGGAGCCACTAAGACTTTTCACCAATGCATAGTAATCACGAAGTCCTAGTTAAGTCAATTTTATAGTTTAATACATTTTTTCCAGAAAATCAACTATGCCATAAGATGAAATTACCATGAAAGTTTTTATATTTTTGGGTCTTTTCATAATCAAGATAAGCTTCGGCAAGTTGTCTAAGTCTGGAGTCTGTGATACCATTTTTAGTTTTGTCATCCAAGAGCATGGAGGCTGTCAGAATAAGGTCCTCAATGCCGAATTTTGGTCTTTGTACAAGCAACGCTCTGCTCGACTTGCTGTTATCCAAACGCCAATTACTAATACCGACAACTGACACATCTGGGTCATCTTTAAAGTCTTTTTTACTACCTGAAGCTGATGGTTCCTTAAGATTTTTTTTGCTACCGTTTGACATTAGTGGGTCGTCATTACTGACTTCCAGAATTTCTAAATCTTTTGAATTCTCTTTTATGTTTTCATTTGAAATTTCTTTTGAGTTTTCATTTGAATTTTCTTTAGAATTCTCTTTTGAATTTTCTTTTGGAATTTCTTTTGAATTTTCCTTTGAATTTTCTTCTGAACTTTCTTTAGAATTCTCTATTGAGTTTAATTTTGAATTTTCTTTTGAATTTTTTTCTTTAGGATCATCAACAATTGCCATATCTGCAGCGTCTTCTCTAGAGAAACCAGGTTCTAAAAGAGCATGAAGAACTTTCAAAGGATTAAATCGACTAGTTTCTGCAAGACCAACTTCATCAAGAAGGACTACAGCTTGCACGGGATATGCTTTTGAACTTGTTTTTTGATAGTTTTTCGCTTTATCAAAAACTTTGACGATACCGGCCGAAGTTGATGACGCAGAACCTTGATGTGGTATAAAGTAGACCTTAGAGAGACCATGTATTAATTAAAATGGTAGTTTGTGGTAATTTGTGGTAATTTGTGAAAATTGTATAAAATTTACCTGTGGTAATGTTTTGAAATATTCGTCCTCAGAATCCGCTCCTCTGAAATTTGAACTAATAAGTCTTACAGCTAAAGATTTTGAACTGTCGATGGTAAAAGTGCCAATATATGACAATATAATATGAATGTTAATAAAAATAATCTGAATTAAATATAAGATTAACGTCAATATTATTTATATTAATTAACCTTCCAGGAGCTCCAATAATAAAAACAGGGATTCTATTCAATATGCAAACAATCATCACAAGAACGTTCTCTAAAAGTGCCTCATTATCAGCTGTTGATGGAGGAATCACCATTCGCTGCATAAAATCTTCTTGTTCTTTACGAATTATCATTTGAAAATCTGTAGCACTAAGTCTTTCTCCATGTTTGCTGAAAACCTTTGACATACGTTCACGATATTTTTTTCGTAAATCTTGATCATACAAACGTGATTGATAACAAAGTCCAAGTGATAAAACAAAACTACAACGTATCAATTTTTTTTTGTCTTTTGGTGGATAGCTCGCAGTTTTCGTAAAGAATGAAATACTACTAGTTTTCATAACTGGTGGTCGTTCATTCAAACTTTTTTGGAACCATATAGCCAATTTGATCGCCCTCTTTACATCACGTAAACTGACAGTGTATGGTTCTTCAACCGCACGAATGAATTTCTGTGATTCACAAAGGAGTTCTACAAATACTGGATGTGCACCTATTCGACTTTCTACCATTATCTTGATATATTCCTGTGTAAATTATAGAATAAAAGGTTTTTTTTCAATAATTATAAGGTAAAAAATAACAAATTTTCAAAATTTAACAAAATATACACACCCTTTCTTCTTCGGATTTGAGAAATCCATAATCCCATACATAATCCAAAACTTGATTTGGTAGAGGATGTACTTGGTAAACCAATTTACTCTGTTCTTGATAATTTTTTTCCAAGCCTACACTACTTAAGCTTTTTTTACGAAGTCGATAAGGATTACATGCAGCAAACAAACGAATATTCCAATGTATTGGTCTGCCTAACAAAGTTCTATGAGCTATTAAATCTGCAAGAAGTCCAATGTGATTACAAGTATTGATTTCATCAAAGAATAACCATATTTGGCCATTCTTGGCATATTGAGTGCTTGAATCGATGAATTCACGGATCTGATCTTCTTGCACACCGGCGTGAAGTGAAAGTACCCTAAATTTAACTTCCACAACAGCTGCTAGAAAGCCAATAAGACTCGTCTATTAAAAAGCATTAGAACGATTAGGTTTTCTTTTCTAGAATTATTCAAAGATTTTAAGATTTTATTGGTTTTATTACAAGAATTTTACATACCTTTCCACAACCTGCTTCTCCACATATGACTACTGGAATGTTTGCTCGAGCTCTTAATAAAATCAGGGCCATTTTAAGAAGATTGTCAGCCGACAACGCGTAATTAGGTAACTTCAATTTACCCATCGATTTTCGTGCTATACGCTCTAATTTCTCTAATAAAGCACTTGAAGACATGGTATGATAATCATCCAATTCCCAAGCTTTTAGATCTTCATGTTGAGAGAAATCATTAATTTCTTGACTCAATATCAGTTGTTTCACGTTATTTGGAACATCAGTTCGATTACGATAAAGAGCACAGATAGAATCCGGAGTTTGAGACAAAAAGAATACCAAGAGATGATTAGAAGAATCCCATTGAACTATAGTTTCCAATTGATCATTACCCGCATTCATAGTTGATTCCAATTGAGCAATTTTTGTAGCAATTGAGCGTGTGGCAAAATCTTTAGAAACCTCAAGTAAAGTTTTCACCAATGTTGTACGAATGTTTTTATCTCCCACCATAAGTTTAAGATTATCAACTGTGAAGAAAGAACTTGATGATAAACGGACCAATTGATCAGCAAATACTTTTAAAAAAACTTCTACAAAACGATATGATGCAACATTTTCATCTTTAGCATTCAAAAAGTATTTTTGTACTAATTCATGACATCTTTCTGGTTCTATGGTATTATTCACACGTCTCGGTCCGGTAAATATAACATCTTTTTCATTAAGTTGATTTTTATCATATATATCTAAATAATGGGATACTACTTGAATTGGGCTAGAAATTTCTTGTGATACAGCAAAATCTTTTATATTCCAATTCATGTGCACTCTATTAAGGCATTGTACAATCGGAATTGAATTTAATAAACGTTCATTATCCGTTGATGCAACCTCGATGTACATACATTCTGGAAGGCAAACAATGTCCGTTTTGCTTGAGACGAATCTGAGTGTTAAAAGCTCGAAAAGAAAAACGTTGACATCATTAGGATAATCAACCGATACAATGTTCAAGTGCATACTTTCTATTTGTCGAAGTTTACATTCATTTAGCTTTCGAACTAGTTCATCGAAACGAATGCTATCACTTATTAATAAGCTTCGAACAACTAAATTACTCCTAAAACTAGCATTCCTTATATATTCAGTTTTTCCTTGGCCAGATAGATTAGAAGTGACACAAAACGCGTTCGGACAAAGTTCTTTATACATATTCGTCATAGTAGTTTCTCCAAGACCATTAGTTGTGCATACTCGATCCGAAAATTGATCAAGAATATGATGATGAACACCATTTTCTCGACAACAAATCAAAGCCAAATAATAATCTTCTTTAGTTTCTTGATAGTGTCGTACATCATTAACTAATTTATATTGTAATTCGAATTCAAGAAGTTCTAAACCTGCGATACAGAATAAGTAATCCTTGTAACCATTTTTTGTTGCCAGAAAACATCTTTTGATGAAAAGTGAAATATCTTCAGCAGTTGTAGTAGCTCTGCACATTAAAATTTGCCATGGTTCAGGGTACAAATGGCGGTTATCACATCGATGATTTGCGTATAGAGATAGGATAATATTAGGAACACGATAAGTGTCAGTGCATGCAGCAACGAATAATTTACCCGAATAAACCACATCTGACATAATTGGTTCTAAATTTGCATTAATTTGTCGAGGATATTCATATTGTTGTGTAAAGATATTATATAACTTTTCACCTATTTTGCAGAGAACTTCGTAAAAGTTTATGTGATACGTGTCGATTTTTATATCGCCATTATTTGGTGGTAATTTTGCTCCTTTACTCACAAATCGAAGTAATGTTTCACATGTCTCGCGAGTCTTTGAGTCAACTTTGCCATTGCAACTGAAATAATCATAAAATGCCAAAATATGTTTAGCTGTATAGAAGGTTAAATAGTAATGCTTTTCTTGTGCTCGTTTCATAGTATCTTCCCTATTAATATAATAATTATTTAAAATTTATGATGATTAAAATTTAATAATTAAAGATAATACTATATTTACCATTCTTTTAGATCATCTTTAAGCTCTTCAAGGTATGCTACCATATTTTCCGTGGAATCCACAGATATACTCCATTCTCTATATGAAAAATGACCCAATTCCATTAGTTGAGAAGCGTATTTTATAATATGGTGTACTGTATCTACTTGTTGTACAAATTTCATCAGTTCATCAGTTCCTTGTTCCAGACTACTTTCACTTTCAATCGGTAAACGCAAAACAAAAGCCGATGCAGCTTGTTTTGCGATCAAAAGAGCTTGTCCTTGTAGATCTTGTAACCCAGAAAGATCATACTTATTCATCGATCCTGACTTGTCTTTACATAATAATTCTACCACACATTTGTCATGATTTTCATCACGATAGAATTTGTATGTACCTCTTGTAGCAGCATCCTTGATTCTCTCCTTGGTTACTTCACCTCTATTCAATATACTAAAGTAAATATTTTGAAGGGCAAGACTACTTGAACAACATTGTGTAATTTTTTCATGCAAAGATTCATTCTTTAAAGTTATCTTATAAACATGATCCAAAAATTTAGTTATGACCGTAAGTGTCGATTTTCCTTCCTTAAAAAGTTTTACCATGTCTTTAATAAGAGGAGCCAAGAATTGTTTAACTTCAATTAACGAAGCAACAGTTTCATCTTGAACTTCACGTTTATCATCTACTCCATTGATTAAATTTCTTAAATCACCTTCTGCAATTGTTTGAAGCCAAGAAATGAAATCACCAGCAAAAGATAAAGCACCAATCATTGCCCAACAATTATCATCAAGATTATGAATATGTTTATTTGCTTCATTAAAAGCATTATATAATTCTAAAAGTGTTAAAGAATCTTTGAGTAACCTATTATGAACATGAGCTACCCAACTATCAGCAACTTCTTGAACTCTAAAATTTTTCAAAGTTTTTCCTAAATCATTAAGTCGTTCTCTCCATGACTTAATATGAGCAAGATAACTTACAGCTTTTTTCAAGTTATCTTTTGGTTGCCATTTCATATCACGAGAAATTAAGTCAAGTTCATGATCAATATTTTTAACTTCAACGCCTTTCCAAAATGGACTAATTTTTGAACATTCAAGTTTTGTCCAATCTTTATATTCTGCTCTTAAATTATCATAATCTAAAAGAGCTGTACGAATATATTTCAGGGCAATCGATTCAACCGTTAATTTCTCTCCAATCGTATTCAAGCATTTATCAAAAACATTTTTAAATGTTTGAGAATCTGCATAAATATAAGAATTCTGAGCTACCTCTATAATAGGATTATGAATTTTCCAGAATGATTCTTTGGTTGTGTTTTCAAGAGCAACATTTTCTTGCATATTTATTTTTGTTTCTATATCTTGAATATAAACCTGTTTATCTGTGGCTTTTCCACAAAATCGTTTATAGAAAACGTCGAGTTTCTTTAATTTGTTAATATATGATTCATAACTCTCTCGAAGATCCTTAAGAATATTCTTGGTAATTTTATTATCAACTATCGTAGAAAAGTAGGCTAATAATTTATTATCTTCATAAGCAAGAACATTTTTAAGCATGCTTATTTCTATTGTTTTATTTAATAATTTCTTTGATAATTGATTAATGGCTTGACGAACTGTTTTCACGTAAATGTGTCGATTATGAAGTTCTTCAACTGATCCTGTGGCTTTTAAGATGTAAACCCAAAAAGTTGAAGATGCGATCAATATTTTTTGTAAATTATCTTCAATAATTTCCATTTTGTTTATATCGATATTTGGTAAGCTTTCTTGCAATTTGGTCAATATGTGGAAAATGATATCTTCGCAAAGCCTATTCAAAAAGTCACAAGCTATATATTAAAAAAAAAAAGAAAAAAAAGAAAAAAAAGAAAAAAAATAAAAAGTAAAAAGAAGTGAATTAATAACTTACGTGTTTGGAATATTCAATTTTTGTCCGTTAGATCTGCAAATTTTCATTATTTTGCCTAGTAACTGATTATCACCAGTCTTGATACTTTGACCAAGTCTTTCTTTTAAAACACGACTAAATATCACTACAAGTTCTTTTTGTTTCAAATCACCAATATCAACAGCAGCATCGAAAATCACATCATCTTTAAGATTTTCAGTAGCTTCTTCAGCAGCATTAAAAAGTTGAAGGCATGTAATATTATATTTTTTCATAATAGTATACATAATTGAAAGGTAATGAAATATTGTACATGCAAAATTTTCTTCGTTATGCTTGGATTCATTTTGCGCATCCTTAACATGTTCCAATGTTGTTTCTAACCATTGAGTACAAATTTTACTGAGTATTCTATCATTCAAATCGATATCTTTTAAGTCTTCTTCGAGAAAGTTTACTAATTGATTCGGAAAAATTTGTAATAATTCCATTTGACTTGAAACAGAAATAACATTTAATGCTTGTAATGCAGAATCCTCTTGCCAGTCCAATCTGTTATTATTAAGTAATCTGAGTATAGATTCGATGTTATCCTTGTTCCAATTCATCTTAAAGCTATTCAACAATTTAAGGACTCTCTCACGGAACATGAGAGCATAATCTAAGTTAAAATCATTAGGTATTTCTTTAAGATGCCTCTCTAAACCAACTGCATTATCGTTTAATATAAAGTGATGTAGATGATCGAGCGAATATGCACAAAGATCATCATATATATTTGATTCAGGATGGAAAATATTTTGCCATAAAAATATAACCGCACCAATACTTTGACATAAAGAAAGTAAACTCTGATTGTATTATTTTAAGAGAATAATAAAGAAAAAATAAGATTGTAAGAGAATATAATTAATATAGATTACTAATATAGATTACTAATATAGATTACTAGATTTTTTTTAGATAATCTTACCTTGCAAACTTTGACATAAATTTCATCATTTTCAATTTTATCCATGTACGGTTTTGCGAAATTTCTAAGTGACTCTAGGAAATTTGACTCATGTCCCTTCGAATCCGTTGAATAGACATGAACCTTGAAATGGTCGAGGAAAGTATATCTTGGATCAATAGTTGGAGCTACTTCAAAAGCTTTTATCCATTCAAATTTAATAGAATTAACTGAGATATGTTGTACAACGATACGGAAAAGTCGTGGCAGAACTTTAAGAACACCACGAGGTAAATCATCTACATTAATATCCTTAAATGTTTGTAACATCTCAAAAGAAGGGAAATTTTCAGGAAGAATCTTTTCATAAGGCATAGTAGCTTTAGATAATTTATCTTTTATCGCAAGAGCCAATAACACGCATAAAAATACGTTTTGTTTATCAAGATTTGAGTTATTGAAATGTGTAAAAACAAAGTCTCTTATCGCTTCAAAATCCAGAACCTCAAAGTGCCTCCTGTTGATATCTAGATATTCAATGATTTTACTCTTTAAATTTGTCTCAGTGATGGAATCGTAAATGAAAGAGACATACGGATAATACTTTTGTATATCTTTTTTTCTTAATAGATATTCACTATTATTTTCAGAATTGCACCATACATCAAAATGATTTTCCCTGAAAGAGAATTCACGCATTCTGTAATCATGATCCCAATTTTTTTTATCATATTGAAGATCAGGAATTGTATTTTCGTTTGATGAAGCTTTGGTAGATAATTGACCAAATAATTTTTTTGTTAAACCACCTTTAGTGCCATTATAAATAAAATAACGATAATAGAAAGATCTGCCCTCAAGACTATTAAGTGGTATACTTATTGGATCAGAATACCAATGTATAGGATTTTTCAAGTGTTTTTTGAGACTTACAATTCCATATCTTTCATCACCTAATTCTCTAATATTACCAATAACAAAAACCATAGATTTTTTCTTTAAACCTCTTTTCGGCATCATTATGTGAAAACGAGTAGTCACAGCATTTTCATTAATGAGATCAGGTGGAATTGCTTGAATGTTCAACTTTTGATTATTTTGTTTAGATGGAATTGCATTGCGAGGTAGCTCAGTTAACGTATCATCTATAAAATTATTAGAAGTGCCCGCAAAATTGTTGTCACCATCATCGTCATTTTTTTCCAAATTACTTGATTTATCTTTCCTTTTTTTCTTGGTGAAGAAACGTTTAAAGCTCAAATTTGGAATAAAGCTTTTTGAAGATGATTCCTGATTAAAATGATCGCTTTGAGTATTTTTATCATTATGTAAACTTACATAAGAACCATCACCATCGTTTTGGGAATCTAGATCAGATTCATCGTTTGGAGAATCTAAATCAGAATCATCATTTTGAGAATCTACACCAATTTCATCGTTTTGAGAATCAGTATCAATTTCATCAAGTTGAGAATCGGTATCAATTTCATCAATTTGAGAATCAATATCAATTTCATCGTTTTGAGAATTAATAACAATTTCACTACTTTGTGCATTTATAAGATTTCCTGAAGGATCTTTTATTTGTATAGCTATATATTCATCACTTGTTTTGATAATACTTTCATTACTTGTTTTGATAATACCTTCATCACTTGTTTTGATAATACTTTCATCACTTGTTTTGATAATACTTTCATCACTTGTTTTGATGATACCTTCATCACTTGTTTTGATGATACCTTCATCACTTGTTTTGATAATACCTTCATCACTTGTTTTAATAATACTTTCATCACTTGTTTTGATAATACCTTCATCACTTGTTTTAATACTTTCATCACTTGTTTTGATGAAACTTTCTTGAAATGTAACGGAATTGGAAATGCCAGATTTATCGTTTTGAGAATCAATAACAATTTCATCACTTTGTGCATTTATAAGAATTCCTGAAGTTTCATTTAGTTGTATAGCTATATTTTCATCATTTGTTCCGGTAATACTTTCTTGAAGTGCAACTGAATTATTGGACATGCCAGTTTCATCGTTTTGAGAATCAATAACAAATTCTTCTTTTAATTCAATAACGATTTCTTCTTTTAATTGTATATCACTTGTTCCGATAATACTTTCTTGAAATATAACCGAATTGGACATGCCAGTTTCATCGTTTTGAGGATCAATAACAATTTCATCACTTTGTGAATTTACAAGATTTTCTGAAGGATCTTTTAGTTGTATAGCTATATTTTCATCACTTGTCCTGGTAATACTTTCTTGAAATGTAACCGAATTGGACATATCAGTTAGAGAAGTATGATCTTTATCAATGATATTAGGCGAATAAACAGTATTGATTTTATTATGATCGCTTTGTGCATCTATAAGATTTCCTGGAGTTTCTTCTAGTTGTATAAGTATATTTTCATCACTTGTTCTGATAATATTTTCTTGAAATGTAACCGAATTGGACATGCCAGTTAGAGAAGTATGATCTTTATCAGTGTTATTAGATGAATCAACAGCATTGATTTCAGTGTTCGGATCGAAATTTTCTTCCATGATTAAAATAAAATTTTGCGAAATCTTGCAAGGATGAAAAGTAAAAAGTTGACAGGTTTTTTTTTTTTTTAATCCAAATTAAGTAGTTTTATCAAGTAAGTACTGTGTAGTCTTAATTTTATATTTGTTTTGCGTACAAATAATTGCATACCAAATTAAGTAATTTTTTCATTATTTATTAATAAAGCACCGCTATTAATTTATACTTTTTGAGAGGCATCTAAAAATAGATATGTTTCTCAAACACAAGATTGGTGCGGTTTAAAATTTGAGACTTCCGAAATGTGAGACTTCCGATTTCGCAGTACTTAAACCGAAAGCCAATTTTGGAAAAAAATTTTTTTTTTGACAAAATCTTGGAGAAACCCGAATATTACAAAAAGAAAAACTAACTACATTTTTTTTGTTTTTAGTAAATTTTTTTTTTAGTAAAAACATAATGGAAGGTTTTGCTTCATTATTTGTCCATTATATTGAATTTTTTGGTACTATTAATGCGGACAAAACTGTGTCAATGTTTACATAAGAATCTTTATCCATGCACGTCTAAGCGAATTTTTTTTGGATTTGAACTGACTAAGCATTCTGAATCATTAAACATTTTTGGAAAAATAATGATTGTATTAGAAAACGACAGATATACGTATTATATACGTACGTATATGAATCATGTGTTGTGCGTAAAGTAGCAAAACTTATATTTTGTAAACAATCAAATACTATCACAAGACGTGCAAAAACTATGAATGATTTGCGTACGTACTAAATCCGGCTAAAATTCAAAAGGTGCATAAAACTACAGAACTAATAAACACAAATAATGCATGTTAAAAAAAAGCGTCAAATAAAAGGACTTAAAAGGCTAAATCTTAAATTCACTTTTATCGAAACTTCATTATATCAAGAATATCGACTGAGACTTATAACAGGCACTCTATTTTCACTTTTATTTTCATTCACATTTCGTGATAACCCGCCATCAGTGCACCGTCCTTTCCCCCCAAATTACATACTACCGTACCGACGTAATTTAATGTGATATTATGGACATTATGAGTAGTTAATAGTATCATAAGGACACATTCTATAAATGCACACTACCTTATTTAAGTGCATTTATGAAATGATTTAAAAACTTTATAAAAATACTATATTCCTCCGAAAATGAGCACCAGAAAATAAGTACTGTGCCAATGTTGTGTCCGCTTTATCATGACCGTGGCCTGAATGAGGTGCAAAAAAGAGGTGCTTATTTTCGTAGCAATGATTCGTAAAATCATATAAAAAAATTCGAATTAGATAAAGTATTATAAACAAAATTTTTTGATAAGGAAATTAAACAGTTTGGATATGTGAAAAAAACAGATCAAAAGTAAAAATAATGACAACAGAGGTTCTAGTTATCTTTCCTTTTTATAATTAATGTTACAAGATGAATGCTTTCCATATTATTATTATTTGTCATAAATCTGTAAACCATATTAACGGTTAATATTGCGAGTGAAATAGTCCAAATCGGAATCGCAAGCATCTAGAAAATTTCATCTCAAACTATTATCATGAAACTCTATTCCACCGTGATTGTTTAAATATTTGTTGAACCTCTTGGCTCGATTGGGAGCAGCAGTCAGCTCGGAGGTCACGGTACCGTCAAATTTTTGCGCCATTACTATTTCACGCAATATCTATAATTCAGACCAGCTAACATAATTCTAACCAACTTACATAATTCTTGCTTGAATGAAATATATAGTGCATGCAAGCTGCGCAGTAGATTCGATTTGCATATTCCTATTCGTAATACAGTAATACAATATCGCAATCGTAGAAATAAAAGATTGTAATAAAAGGTTCAGAGGTGCCATAATAGCTGAATAGGAATTAGATTCTCTAAAGATTTAGATTTGACAGTAATGTCGTTGACGTTGCCATTATCATTTTTACTATATCGATATGTATAAAATTTATCACGATTCTAACTTAAAGACTCATAATAACTAATACGTACGTACGTACCTGTTTTCTAAATCCATTCTATATCCTAATGTGATAGGTTTTTGATTAATACAGTATATACTTGACAAAGTAAACTATATGTGAGTCGACAAGCGAAAACAGGGAATTGTGAGATTTAACACACCATATAATTTATGTTGTGCTTAATTTAAATTTATCAGGAATCGGATCAGAATGCGGAGCCGGCAAAAATCGAAATTTCTGGTTTTTGCTTGGCAGCACTCATATATATTTTTTTTATAATAAAAAAAAAAGCTATTGTCTAGAACGAAGTGACAGATTCATACCTCTACGCCCTTTGATAATCGAAATTATATTTTTGACGCATTTATAATAAAAATATCAAAAATGTAGTTTTAGTATTTTCTGAATGTAAAGCCGCATTCCCATATTTGCACATTCATGTAACAACACATGTTTGCATGTTTGTACACATGATTAGGTGTCTGCAACCGGGCAATCATAAGTCGCGTAACATATACAAAATTACTATTTGGGATAATATGCAGTAAAAGCTTTCATTTTTAGCTTACGTATATCGCTACGTAGTCAATCATAAGTATCGAGTGCTCTAATTCCCCACCACTTCTGATTGGCTGTACTAATTATTCATTTATCGGAGCCAATCCAATCCAATTTCACGAACAGGTGTAACGTAAAAGAAACGCAAAAAAAAATGCAAAAATTAAAAATCTCCCATAACTCTAAATTCAATATATGAAACTGTC